GTCTTGCAGCGGCCCTGTCCTCCTGCATGGGCCCCACTGTCCCAGGATTGCTGCCACTGCTCCCGTGGTCACAACTAGGTCAGAGGCAGAAAAGGGGAGCCTCTCATCTTGTGCCTCCTGGGGATGAAACCCCCAGCCAGTGTCCCCTCATGGTTCCTTGGCTTGACTTGTATACCTGTTCTTACTTTTATTTATTTTTTTTGAGACAGAGTCTCACTCTGTTGCCCAGGCTAGAGTGCCTGGCATCAGCCTAGCTCACAGCAACCTCAAACTCCTGGCTCAAGCGATCCTCTGCCTCAGCCCCCGAGTAGCTGGGACTACAGGCATGTGCCACCATACCCGGCTATTTTTTCTATATACTTTTAGTTGGCAATTAATTTCTTTCTATTTTTAGAGAGCAGCGTCTCGCTCTTGCTCAGGCTGGTTTTGAACTTCTCACCTCGAGCAATCCGCCCGCCTTGGCCTCCCAGAGTGCTAGGATTACAGGCATGAGCCACCGCGCCCGGCCTGTATACCTGTTCTTAAACCGACTACTGGCAAGAAGAGTAGAATTACTCCAGATGATTTTCATTAATCAAGGTCACCCACTGAGGCAGAGAAGGAACGATCCGAACAAAAAGCTCTGGCGGTAGAGGTGGTTGGGGACGCATGCAAGAGGGTGTCGACAGCAAAGCCGGGCTTCTCTGAGGACAGCACTGTGGGCGGGGGGTAGCTGGAGAAGCCAGTCCTTTGAGGAAGGCAGAGCCGGGATGGCTGAGCCACAGGCGGGAAGATTGTGCATGACAGCCACCTCCAGATCTCCCGAGCTTGGTGAGCAGCCCCCTTGGGAACAGATCCAGAGTGTGGTGAACAATTAAGGGAAATGAAACCAAAGGGTTGCGACAGCCCCAGGCAGCTCCAAGGCAGAATAAGCCACGCAGTGGTAGGGACACCAAGCGAGCCCAGCAGAGCTGGGTGACCGTGGGCTGGAGGGTGAGGGTTGATGTCCAACTGAGGGACCTTCCCTTTCTTCCTCCTGCCCCTCATCTTTCATAAACCTCCCAGTTTGTTTGGAGGGCTGTGAGCACTCCCAGGGTCATCTCGTAGCTCTGTCTCCCAACAGCGTTGCACTGTCAACAGATGGCCCCGGTGTACCTTCCACCCTAGGTGGTCCCGCACGTGACCTTTCCACTCCATCAACGAGTTAAAGAGCTAGTGGTGGTGGCTCACGCCTGTAATCCGTAGCACTCTGGGAGGCCGAAGGTGGGCAGATGCTGAAGGTAGGAGTTTGAAACCAGCTGGAGCAAGAGCGAGACCCCGTCTCTACTAAAAATAGAAAGAAATTAGCTGGACGACTAAAAATATCTAGAAAAAAAATTAGCCGGGCATGGTGGCGCATACCTGTAGTCCCAGCTACTCGGGAGGCTGAGTCAGGAGGATCACTTGAGCCCAGGAGTTGGAGGTTGTTGTGAGCTAGGCTGATGCCATGGCACTATAGCCCATCCAAAAAATTAAAAAGAATTAGAGACTAATTCCCCTCCTACTGAAGCTGAAACGCCTTAGTCATGCTTTTGTAAGAAAAACCTTCTTGGAAATGACGCATGACCTCCAAGGTTAGGCCATGAAAGGTCACACAGCTCCTGCCTAGTTCTCAGGAGGCTTTGTCTTGAACACCATGCCATGCTGTGAGAAGCACAGGCCACGTGGAGAGGCCACACGTGGACATCTGGACGTGCCAGGTGGTGCCTTGGCCAAAGCACCACATACAGTTGGTGCCCAACAAATGTGTTGCTGAATGGTCGGTCTACAGAGGAATGGAGAAATGGGCACGACACGTTCTAGTTAAGAAAGGAGGGTCCTCCTGTTATGGCAGAGGGGTTCGTTCTTGCTCTGTAAACATATCTTGTCCTTCCTCAATAAACTTAATTTCACGCTTGCTTTGCTCTGGGTGTGTCTGTCTGGTCACTCTTTGGCCATGAGCACACCAGGAACTGAGAACTAACAAACTACAGCCTGACTTCTTGAGTCCAGGTGTTGGAGGAGATGGCTCAAAGTAATTGTCTGGACAAGGGTCAGAAGATCTTCCTTACCAGAGACAGGGTGGGCTGAAACCACCAATTACTGTTAAACACAACAGCCCGAAGCCACAACACATGACACCGGTCTCAGAGACCTGAGCCCAACTGCCAAAACCTCTCCTTTTAAAAGCCCTCATTTTGTTGCCCCTACCTTAAAAAATAAAATTAAATTAAAGCCCTGGTTTTCTGCATAAAGGCAGGATGGTTTGCTTAAAGGCAGACTGGGTGAGACACTAGTCTGCTGCCCCTCTCATTTGCTGGCAAATTAATAAATTTCTCTTTTCTTTGCCTCAAATAAATGAAAGAAAGAAAAAAGGAAGAAAGAAAGAGAAAAGAAAGAAGTATGCCAGGCATGGTGTCTCACATCTATAATCTAAGGCAGGAGGATCACTTGAGGCCAGGAGGTTTTGGTTTTTTTTTTAAGACAGGGTTTTGATCTGTTTTCCAGGCAAAGGTGCAGTAATATAGTCATAGCTCACAGCAACCTCAAACTCCTGAGCTCAAGCGATCCTCCTGCCCCAGCCTCCCAAGTAGCTGGGACTACAGGTACTTGCCACCATGCCTGGGTAATTTTTCTTTTTTGTTGTTTTTGTAGAGACAGGGTCTCAGTATGTTTCCCCAGCTGGTCTCCAACTCCTGCCCTCAAGCAATCCTTCCACCTCAGCCTCCCAAAGTGCTGAGATTACAGGTGTGAGCCACTGCACCCAAACGCCAGGAGTTTGAGACCAGCCTAGGCAACATAGCAAGACCCCATCTCTACAAAAAAATTAAAAGGTTAGGTAAACATGGTGGCACATGCCTGTAGCTTTAGCCGCCCTAGAGGGTGAGGCAGGAGGATCTCTGGAGCCCAGGAGCCTGAGGTTGCTGTGAGTGATTATTGTACCACTGCTTTCCAACCTGGGTGACAGAGAAAGACCCCATTAAAAAAGAAAAGAAAGAAAGAAAGAACAAAAGAAAGAAAAGAAAAAGAAAGAAAGGAACACAGAAAAAGAAAGTAGACCTTAAACTGCATGACGTAGAGTATGGGTCATTTAGGATCTTGGTCTCTCCTTGCAGGCTGGGGGGCGTGGGGGTTCCCATTACTTTTGTAGGGATTCAGATCTATAATTGGGCCTCACACACATCTGCGGGTTGGGCTGCCACCTGGATGGAACCTTCCTCCTCTCAGGGCCCTCCTCACTCAGGGACTCAAGCGCGTGCCCAGGCTCTGGTCTAGCCTTGAAGCAGTGAAGGAAGCCGACAGAATGCTGCCTGCAGCCCTTAGCTTCTGGTAGTGGCGGTGGGGCAGATGACAAATAAAAACGTACAAGACAGAGAACATCAGACAGCGATGAGTGCTCCAGAGAGTCGGCAAGTGTGTGAGGGGAAGGGCCGTGGGTCCCAGAGAACAGGGAAGAATGTTCCACAGATGCTCAAGGCAGGGGGGGCTTGGGGCAGGTGGGTGGGGCCCAGAAAGGGGGTGAGGGGGCAGGAGACAAAGTCTGGGGCTGACTTCCGCCCAAGATCCCTCTGATTACTGGGCTAAGGATGGACAGTGGGGCCCAGGTGGAAGCTCAGAAATGTGGCAGGGGGGGTGTTGGTGGGGCCCCCAGTCTGGCAGGGGAGGCCAGGTGGAAACAGAATCTCTGGGACTGAGGACCTTGGAGCGGCAGCTCAGTGCATTCTCCCTTCAGGTCTGAGCAGAAGGAGAAGGTGCACAGAGCCACAGTTACTCTGAGCTGGGCTGGAGCCTCACTCTGCTCCTTGTGTGACCTTGGCCAGGTGGCCCAAGCCGCTGCTCCAGCAGTTCACCACCTGCCCCCGGCTTAGATAGGGTTAAATGCGATGGCATGTGACTCCCACTTGGGATTTCCCCAGTTGCTGGGCACTATCATCCATCGTGGTACCCCCTCTGAGCAAAGTGGGCCAAGTCCGGAGGCAGCCAAAGCTGTGCCGTTCTACAGAGAGGGGAAACTGAGTCTGGGAGCTCGGGACCACCGCAACCCGTATGTTGGCCCCTGTCTGCTTTCACCTGTCCTCAGCTTCTCCCTGTGGGATGAGGGGCATTAGGTGAAGAAGCTTATTCCTGAGCTGGCAGCAGGAATTGGGGTGTGAGGGGTGGGGCTAGAGCAGCCCTGCTATGCGTATGAGCAACTGCAAAGCAGCAATGATACCAGGCTCTACAGAAACCGGCTGCCTTCAGACTCCTACCCCCCAGCCCCTCCACTGAAAAGCCCCATATCTCGCTGTGCCTCAGTTTTCTCCTCTGTAAAGTGGGGTGGAGTGACACCTTGTCCCTCCCTCACCAGCTGTGAAGACCACACAGGGTCATGCAGGTGAATCCAACCGTATTTTCTGCCGCTGCTGCGTAGTGAGTGGTTCTCTCTTTCTTTTTTCCCTCAGCTGCTGGTTTGTTTGTTTGTTTGTTTTTAAAACCAGGCCAGTTGCGGTGGCTCAGGCCTGTAATCCTAGCACTCTGGGAGGCCCAGGCGGGCAGATTGCTCGAGGTCGGGGGTTCGAAACCAGCCTGAGCAAGAGTAAGACCCTCTCTCTACTATAAATAGAAAGAAATTAATTGGCCAACTAATATATACAGAAAAAATTAGCCGGGAATGGTGGGGCATGCCTGTAGTCCCAGCTACTCGGGAGGCTGAGGCAGGAGGATTGCTTGAGCCCAGGAGTTTGAGGTTGCTGTGAGCTAGGCTGACGCCAGGGCACTCACGGTAGCCTGGGCAACAAAGGGAGACTCTGTCTCAAAAAAAAACCAAAAAAAAAAAAAACCAAAAAAACCCTAAATGTCACCAATTTTTTTTTTTTAAGTGTTGTGGCTTGGATTTAAACCAGGACTTTCGTGAGTGGAGCAAATCTAGGAAACGCATACCCGGGCCATACCACTTTGGACGGCGGGTCCGCGCGGCCTCTTGCCGGAGGGACTTGGGGCCGCAGGGTCGCGGGGACGAGCCGGCGTGTCATGAGCCTCCGGGCCGGAGGCGGCAGCAGCGGGCGGCAGGGCGGACACAATGTAGCGACGGCGGCCGGGCGGACACAGTGTAGCCGGCGCGGCGGGGGCGATGCAGGAGGGCGGCGGCCAGGTGAGCGGGGTCTCCGGGCGGCGGCCAGGTGCGCGGGGGCTCGGCCCGCGGGGCTCGCGGGGCCCAGCAGCCCTGTCGGGGCGCCGGCGCCGTGCACCGAGCAGCCGGAGGATTCTGCCCCGGGCAGCGCAGGGCCTCACTCCGTCTGGTCCTCTCCCGGCGCAGGGGGCGTCGGTGAGCTCAGCGCCCCCGCCCTTGACACCAACCTGGGCTGTGCCGGGGGCCCTGGAGGCCCAAGGGACCCTCCTGGGCTGCTGGGCTGCCCCGAGCTTCAGTGCCCTGGTCTGCGGAACGGGTGGGTGTGGTGGGGGAGCCTGGGACACAGGGTGCCCAGAGTGAAGTCGTGTGGTTAGGGCTGAAGGTGGGGGAGGCACACCTCTGGGGGGCTCGTCCCTGTGGCAGGCAGTGAAGGCACCGCCAGGCTTTGCTTCGGTGGCAATAGTAACCTTAAAGGAATAGTAACCCTGTCTCTGCATGCCCCTGCACCCTGGCAGGTGTTCCTAGCAGGTGTTCCTCACACCTGGTGTTCCAGGTGTGAGCACATGGGACAGAACTTATCCCTTCTACCCTCCAAATTATCAGGGCAGCTGCAGTGTTAACACTTCTTGGCCACACCAGGGGTCAGCTCAGCCCAGGCCAGGAGCCCTCAGTGCCCTGGAGCCCTCTGGGCTTTATTCTGAGGTCTCCTTGAACTGCTCAGCTGTGGAGTCCACCCACCCTCGCCCCCAACGCACACACACACACCAGGAGAGGGTGGTCTCTAGCCCGGCCAGAGGGTGGAGTAGCCTGTTTCTTTCCTCTCCGTCTCTCACTTCCTGCTTGTTGCTTTCTGAGGCTGAGACTGAAATCTGGGGGCAGGACTCTGGGCTGGCTCTGGTGAGGGGTGAGGGGCAAGCTGGCTGATGCTCTGCTGGTAGCTGCTGCTACGCCCTGCGGCCTTTGGGTCAGTGTGCCGGGTTGCTGTGTCTCTGCCCTCCGCAGAGGGGGAAATGTGATTCTTCAACTTGGCAGGAGAAAAACTAGGGCTGAAAGGTCTAATGGCTCCACTCGATCATTCGCTGCCTCTGTGCCAGCCTGGGCTGGGGCTGGCACTGCGCTCAGAAGGGGAATAAAAGTTGCTTTCTTCACAGCCCAGAGGAGAGCTGCTGGGAAGAGTAGAGGTGTTCCTGCCAGGGGGCCTGCGTTTTGAGCTCCTCTGCCGTATTTTAAAGTTTCCAGGGAGCCCCCAGGAGCGGCTCCTGCACCCCCGTGACAGTCCCTTTGGGCTGGGGGGGTCACCACGTGATGACCATAAGGTTTGCCCAATAGCTGCTGTGGGCCGATGGCTTCACTGACACACACAAGTGCCTGATCCTTCCTCCCACCCCAGGAGGTGGTGTCCTCCCTGATTTATAGGCAAGAAAATGGGGTCATGTAGCTCGTCACTGAGAGAGCTAGAATTTAAATCAAGGCTCTCTGATTCTTTTTTTTTTTTTTGAGACAGTCTCGCTCTGTTGCCCAGGCTAGAGTGAGTGCCATGGCATCAGCCTAGCTCACAGCAACCTCAAACTCCTGGGCTCAAGCTATCCTCCTGTCTCAGCCTCCCGAGTAACTGGGACTACAGGCATGCGCCACCATGCCCAGCTAATTTTTTCTATATATATTAGTTGGCCAATTAATTTCTTTCTATTTATAGTACAGACAGGGTCTCGCTCTTGCTCAGGCTGGTTTCTAACTCTGACCTTGAGCAATCTGCGTGCTCGGCCTCTCAGAGTGCTAGGATTACAGGCGTGAGCCACCGCGCCCGGCCTCTGATTCTTGTAATTAATGGTGACAGTGATAATAAGCTATAGTTGATGTTTATCATGGCTTACTGTGTGCTGGCTAGTTTTCTCAGAACTTTGTATGACTAATTTAATCTTCACAGAAACCCTATATGGTACTATTAATATTATAACCTCCATTTGAGATGTGAGAAATTGGAAGCAAAGGTTTATACTTTACCCAAGTCACGCAGGCAGGAGTGGGCAGAGTAGGGATAAGTTGGTCCTATCTGCCTTTTCACCATGAAGCTACTGGGATGATCAGTCAAAATTTTCTTTGGCTGCAAAAGACAGCAGCGCCCCTCCCAATAACAGTGGTGTACGTAGAAGTTTATTTCTGTCTCACATGAATGAAGCCAGCAGTGAGCAGCTCAGAGCTCAGGTGGCATCCCATGCAATCTTGTCACTCTGCCTTCCTCATTCATAGCTTTTATGCCACAGCCCAAGGTGGGCTTCAGCTCCACTCATTACATCTGCATCCTGAACAGTAGAAGCAGGAGGGGCTGACGAGGGGTATCCCCTCCCTTTAAGAATAATTCCCAGAAGTCTCTCATGTGATCTTTCTTTTCATTTCCTATTGGTCAGAACATAGCACATCCACCACACGGTAGAGATGGCTGAAGGTTAGGAGTTGAAACAGCTGGAGCAAGAGCGAGCCCGTCTTACTAAAAATAAAGAAATAAATTAGTGGAGGGATAAAGAATAATCTATTGAAAAATTAGGCCTGGCATGGTTGGCGCATACCTGTAGTCCCAGTACTGGGGCTTGGGCAGGAGATCACTTGGAGCCCAGGATTGATTGGAGGTTTGTTGAGCTAGGCTGATGCCATGGCACTATAGCCTTTCAAAAATTAAAAGAATTAGAATAATTCCCCTCCTATGAGGCTGAACGCTTAGTCATGTTTGTAAGAAAACCTCTTGGAAATGACGATTGAACTCAATGTTAGGCCGATGAAAGTCACACAGTCTGCTAGTTTCTCGGAGGCTTTGTTTGAACACCATCATGTGTGAGAAGCACGGCACGTTGAGAGGCCAACGTTCACATCTGGAAGTGAGGGGTGCCTTGGCCAAAGCACATACAGTTGGTGCCCACAATGTGTGTGAAATTGGTCGGTCTACAGAGGAATGGAAAATGGGCACCATTGTTCTAGTAAGAAGGGGGTCCTTTTATGGCAGAGGTTCATCTGCTCTGTAACATATTTTCTCTCGTAAATCTTAATTCACGCTTGCTTGCTTTGGTTGTGTCACTTCCTTTGGCATGAGCAACCAGAACCGAAGAACTAACAAACTACAGCTGATTCTTGAGTCCAGGTGTTGAAGGAGATGGCTCAAACTCTATTGTTCTGGACAAGGGAGAAGTCTTCCATTACAGGACAGGTGGCTGAACCCAATTCTGTAAAACAAACAGCCGAAGCCAAACAATGACCCGTCTTCAGAGACTGGCCAACTGCAAAACCTCTCCTTTAAAAGCCCTCATTTGTTGCCCTCCTTAAAATTAAATTAAATTAAGCCTGTTTTCTGCATTAAAGGCAGGTGGTTTGCTTAAAGGCAGACTGGGGTGGCATATCTGCTGCCCCTTCTTGCTGGCAAATTATAAATTTCTCTTTCTTTGCTCAAATAAATGAAAGAAAAAAGAAAGAAAAAAGGAGAAGAAAGAGAAAGAAAGAAGTTATGACAGCATGAGTCTCACATCTTGTAATTAGAGGAGGATCACTTGACCAGAGTTTTTTTTTTTTAAGACAAGGTTTTATTCTGTGTCAGGCAAAGTGCAGTATAATTTTTTTTTTTTTTTTTTTTATTTTTTTTTAATCTAGCTCACAGCAACTCATCAAGGCTATCCTCTGACCAGCTCCCAGTACTGGGACTACAGGTATGTGCACCTGCCCGAGTAATCTTTCTTTTTTTTTGTTTTGTAGAGACAGGGTCTCAGTATGGTTTCCAGCTGGTCTCCCAACTCTGCCTCAAGCAATCCTTCCACTAGCCTCCCAAGTCTGAAATTAAGGTGGAGCACTGCCCCAAAAGCCAGGACGTTTGAGACCAGCCTAGGCAACATAGCAAGACCATCTCTACAAAAAATTAAAAGGTTAGGTAAACATGGTGACATGCCGTAGCTTAGCCGCCCTAGAGGGTGAGGCAGGAGGATTCTGGACCAGGAGGTCTGGAGGTGCTGGTGAGTGATTATTTGTACCACTGTTTCAAGCCTGGGTGAGAGAAAGACCCCATTAAAAGAAAGGAGGCCAGGCGCATGTCTAGCCTGTATCCTAGCTCTTGGAGGAGCCAAGGCGGGCGTTGGCTAAGGTCAGGAGTCCAAACCAGCTGAGCAAGAGCGAGACCCGTCTCTACCATAATAGAAGAAATTATTGGCAACTGTACTATATATAAAAAATTAGCCGGCATCGGTGCGCAGCCTGTAGTCCCAGCTACTCGTTGAGGCTGGAGACAGAGGATCGTCGAGCCAGGAGTTTGGGGTGCTGTGAGCAGGTGACGCCACGGCACTCATTAGGCCCTGAACACGAGACTCTGTTCAAAAAAAAAAAAAAAAAAGAAAAGAAAGAAGAAGACAAAGAAGAAAGAAAAAGAAGAAAGGAACACAGAAAGAAGTAGACTTAAAACTGCATGCACGTAGAGTATGGGTCATTTAGGATCTTGGTCTCTCCTTGCAGGCTGGCGTAGGGGTTCCCTTACTTTGTAGGGATTCAGATCTATAATTGTGCCTCACAAATTCGGGTTGGCTGCCATGATGGACCTTCCTCCTCTCAGGGCCCTCCTCACTCAGGACTCAAAGCGCTGCCGAATCTGGTTCTAGCCTATGACGCAGTGAAGAAGCCGCAGAATGCTGCTGCAGCTAGCTTCCTCGGTAGTGTGGGGAGATGAAAATAAACCGTACAGACAGAGAACATCAGACAGCGATGAGTGGCTCCAGATGAGTCGGCAGTGTGTGGAGGAAGGCCGTGAGGTCAGGAGGAAAGGAAGAATGTCCACAGATGCTCAAGGCAGGGGGGTTGGGCAGTGGTGGGGCCAGAAAGGGGGGTGAGGGCGGGACAAGTCTGGGCTGACTTCCGCAACGATTCCCTCTGTTACTGGGCTAAGAGACACGTGGGGCCAGGTGGAAGTCAAGAAATGTGGAGGGGGGTGTTGTGGGGCCCAGTCTGGCAGGGGGAGGCAGGTGGAAACAGAATCTCTGGACTGAGGACCTTGG